GTAAGGATAGATTAAACACATCGCACCTTTAATAATAAACTGAATTAATTCAAAATTTACGTTTTTCGAGTTTTCAACAAATACCAAATCAACTTCATCAGTAGAACACGAACAATCCAACAGCCGACTCGATACCATGAAAATGGCAGAGATAAGAGATCTTCGTTCTCTTTTTGACGAACTCGCACGTACATTAATGTCAAACTTTAAATGCGATTTCCCACAATTTTGAAATTCTAAGTTAATTCAGTTTATGAATAAAGGTGCGACATACAGGAGCGGATCTTCCAGAACAGATAAGCAGTCCTTAATTAAAAAAGTCGGTATATTATCGGGACCGCAAGCAGATGATATTTTTAAACGGCGTACTGCCAGCCTTAACTCAGATAGGTTTATATGGTCTACCGTTACTTCCGACATATTATCTGAAGTAAGTGTACCACCAGCATCCTTTACATTCAACAACGGGGTATTAGTATGAAAAATGGAACTAAAATAATCAGCAAACGCATTAGCAGCCTCCTGTCCATATAATAAATAAATATGTGCCGTAGTGTGTATTATGTACGAACATGAAACAGCATACATTACTTAGTTTCGCATGTGATAAACATTAAAATAGAACGACAACTGTAGTAGAAAAAATACAACTATTGTGAAGCCTAGCTCTAAGGCCGTGCTATCACTCCGATCGAGCATTGCCCATCTGTGCCGCAGGCAGAAAATATCTACCTACTACTAATTCTCTTTGATTAGAGAAATACTACAAAGATAAGAAAATACTAGTAATCCCTGTTTCTGCTGTAACTCCTCTAAACTACTTTCAATACAACTAAGATATTCATATCCAGGTCATAAATTATAAAACAAATTATGGTCACTGGGGTTTCTGCAAATTTGGAGCATTTTAAAATAATTAGAAAAAACGTGTTTAAGACTAAGCATCACTATATATAAAGGAACCTTAAAAAGTTAGGTTATAGGAGGCTCTATAGAAATAGCTTCATTAGGCCCTTAACATGCGATCACACTTACAGGCCGCAATCTGAAGTAGGTACTCATTTTGGGCCTTCACACTGTATTACTTTGAAGGTATTGTCTACAGGCATTTTCATAATGTATCGTATTACGTCAAGACTTGACTCAGAAAGTTTCTGTTCTCAAAACTTTTGTAACGATTTCGTGTACGTACTTGCTGTTAAGAAACAGAATTATTAATATTAAAGTTGGATACAGTTTGAATATTAGACAATTTGGTGCATTTCAATAATAACAAGTTGTCAGTAAAGTTCGCATCTTTTTTGTTTTGAATATGTGATTAAAAGTCATGAGCACCAAGCGGCACATATGGACTGGCTCGACCAAAGTGATGCGCGGCCTCGCACTAAACCGGTGTTAAACAATTCTATCGTTGTATTTCACCGTGTGAATGAGGTAGTCGGAAAACCAACCCTCCGCCTGCCTTATTCTGGCGGGGTCACTGAAAGGCCGGCCACGCACTTGAGCCTCTTGATAGAACGAAGATAGTCACTTACCTGAGTTTGTTTACTCTCTACATAGCAAAAAATGTATAAAAGATATTCATTTTATACGATATTTACTTAGGATAAATCGATATGGGGGTTATTTTGTTAGGCCTGTCGAAGAGATTACCAAATATCTTATCAGTTTTTAATCCAAGATCTATTTTTCAAAGCTTTGCTCGTCGTCCTTGTACTCCGAATATATGAAAATACATGCTCAGTAATTACAATGTTAAATGTATTTTTGGGATAAAACGGAACGCTTTTGCACCCTAATCCATCTCGCACTTCAATGTTTTATGTACAAGCACTGTAAAAACCTTCTTATTACAAACATATACCTACTTTACCGAAACATATATCCGAAAAGCTAAATCGTTGCAATCGTTTAAAAAACAGGTCACAAATTACTACTTGACATTGTAAGGGCTGTTGAAGGGATGCCGATTGTTGCTGATGCTTGGTATGTCATAGGTTAGAAAAGATTGGTATTAACGTTTGTAACCTTTGTATGTATTTATTATTTATGTTGATATACTCGTATGTATGTATTAGTATGTATAGTGTGAGCGTATTTAGTATGTTTATTTTTATATATTTTAATACTATAAAGTACACCACAGACTACCCTAAATCATATTTGGCAATATCCGTATAAAGGTTGTCTGTAAGAGATCGCCGTGTGCGATAAGACCGCCTATTGTAATACCAAATGTAGATGTCCATCCATGTCTGTACAATATATACTGTAGCGGTGTTCAGTAAAGATGTATAAATAAATAAATACTTTTATTTATCTATTATGAAGGTTTTTTAGTTTTTGCACAGAATCCTAGAAGTATAGAAGCCGTCTATCATCATCATCATCAAAGTTTAGTTATCTGCTAGTGACAGTACGGTAAATATCGGTAAACATATCATCAGCACTGAATTTAGCTTGGTTTTGGTTCTTCCAACATAAATTCAGCTGGATTGAAAACGATGCTAATCGCCCCAATAGGTGGCGATAGATTGTCGGATTCGATGCGATTGATATTTTTTGTCATTTGATCATGCTTTAATAATTTTGTTGCGTTTTTTTAAGCATTAGATAAGTTACGCCTAATTAAAAAAAAACTTAGATAAACACAGTTACATTTATTTTCGTTTGATTACGGGGCTTTAGCATTTTACTAAACTGACAATACTCTTTATGTCTAGATTCTAAGCTATTCAAATGGTAATATAAAATAGAATTGATTATTTACTAAATCTCAAAACCTAATAAGATTTCCTAAACATGCAATGATATTTATGAAGTCTATAAAAAACTACATAAAAGTATTGTCTGGTAAAGCAGACAGATATTTTTCAATACTTTTGTTTGTCGTCCGATATTAGTAAATCGTCCGTCGAATATTTTTTGCTGTAATTGTCTGTGATAAAGTAAGTCAATTAGAAATCGGTCAATCGTCATAGGATTCCTTACAAAAACTTTTGGCAAATCTTGATCAAACACAACTGACAATAATTTGTGTATAACCTTCATACGTGTGGTGACGGATTAAGAATCCAGAGTGTCACCACCCCTATTCAACCGCTGGGTGCCGTAAGAGCCGACTGAGGGAGCAAACTACGCAGGGCAACAACGGCACTGCAAAGAGAAGGAAAACTTGAAACAAAACCTATGCCATTCCGCCTGGCCAGCGTCGTTTGGTAGGCCAAAACCTCCTTTCTAACGAGAGGCGTACGTCCAAAAACTAGTCAATAATTAGCCAAGAAAATCCCTTTAATAAAAGTTGAACCGACTTCAAAAAATACTAACAAAGAGCACTAAAAACCTAGCAGCAATCGCGGTTGATTTGCTGTCCGTTTTGAAGAGTTCCGTTGTCTGTCTCCGAAACTCATTATCAGATCTATATGAAATTTAAATTGGAATATTTCGGAAGAAATCTCTTTCGAACAAAAAAATAATTTTGTAAAGTAAAGTATAAACATCCGCATTGACCTCCTCCTCCTTTTTGAAGTTGGTTAAAAACAGGCAAAGCGTAGTTGTGAATTTGTTAACACATGGACGCATTACTCCGACTGGGACTCCGCCCGAGAGGCCTGTCCCCGCCAGCAATCATTGCTGCCATGCTGGCGGGTGAGGGATAGGGCACAGTGGTCTCTTTCTGTGAAGCAGTAATGCATCAGAAAGAGACCAGAGAGAGAGATACATTATTCAATTTAACTCTATTAACTTGATATTTTGTAATATAGATTATAATGACTGTATAGCAAACCTCTACCAAAAAGCGAAAGGAATTTTGTTCCGACAGCGGGTCCGTTGACCCTTCCACCGTTTTTTTTTTCTCATTGGAATCAATTTCAGACTTCAAATACGCCGTAAGTCTTCTTAGAGTTTCTTAGTCAACAAGTAAACATTTTGGTGTCGCCATGTCTGGGCCTCAATTCTGCTATTTTATGTTCACGCCAAGCCACTGTCATACCACTGGCACGCTATTGAGATGCCATCGAGTTTTCATTGGCATCGGTATAAATATCGGTAGTCTACCCCGGTAGGTTCCCCGGCTACTGGTACCTGAGACGGCGTGCGGTTTTTAGTCGGTTCGATTCCGACATTACCACCAGTGGGCGGTATCCGAGGGGATTAACGTACAGAAGTACTCCATTGAACACTCCATAACACCCAAAGCAAGAACATTTTTTTAATAATAAAAGCTGCTAGTGTATTTTTCCTGAAACAACATTACAGTCGTTGCTTACATATTGCTACCGGTTATCGACCATTACAAGATTTACAAGACTATATTTTGGATGGAATAGCAATCCTATTTCAGACGAAATATATCATATTATATTTCGGCTGAAATAGAATAGTTCTATCTCTCTGCATTTGTTGTTTTCATACTGGTACCTACCGACTACACTAATCAATATGTTAAAATGGGCGAAAGCAATTCTTAAACGTAGTGAAAATATGTATCGAGAACAAAGTTAGAATTAGAATTGTTTTTGTTATCTCGGGCTTTGACTTTTAAAGCTAAATAATATGAGTTTAGCATGTCTTGACATTTTTAATTTTGTTACTGCATTGCAGAATTTTAATAGTAAATAAAGGGGATATGCAACTTTAGACATTAATAATCCATAAAGTTCGAAACTACTAAACACTTAAAACTTACCTCGGAGCCCGGTTATATTTTTGTTGACGGTTGGAATATCCCTGGTTGGATCTCCGGCTCCTGGGGGATGCAGGAGCTAGGAGAATGTGGTGATTACGACAGTAATAAGACCCACTGCTAAGTGTAGAGTTTTCTACTTGTGCATTTGTGTTTTAGAAGTATTATTATTATTATTAAAAAGTTAATAAAAGCGATAGGTTCTTTTTTTTATTCTCTTATTAATTTCATGTGTTATTTTGACTTATCTTTGGTATGATAGATAGATGAATACCTAGAATGATATCTATAAGTATATTTTCTTTCTTTTCAGACAGATTATACTTTGCCACGCTAAAAACTGGTTACAAGCCTAAACCAACTCGTAACAGCAAATACTTCCATATTGAAGATGAGATCGTCTACGAGAACTTCTATTTTGACTTTGGGCCATACCATCTGTGTCACCTCTACCAGTTCTGTAACAAGCTCACAGAGGAACTGGAGAAGAACCCCAAGAAGAAGATTGTTTTCTACACCAGCAATAATGAAACTCTTAGACTCAATGCCGCCTATCTTATCGGGAGTTATCAGGTATTAATCATGTTCTAAATTCACGGACACCGTATGGTGACGGATTAAGAATACGGAGTTCATCGCCTCTATTTATCCCGTGGGTGTCGTAAGAGCCGACTAAGGGAGCAAATTACGCAGGACAACAGCACTGCACATAGAAAGAAAACTTGACACAAACCCTGTTCTAACCCATCTGGCCAGCGTGTTATAGTAGGTCAAAACCTCGTTTCTGAGAGGCCTATGTCCAGTAGTGGAATAGTAAAACTGATAATGATGATGAAATTCAAAAGGGGGTTAATCATAAAAATACAATTTGATCTAAAAATTATATAAAAAGTAAAAGTGCCGTTTTTGTCCAAGAATGGTTTTACAAGATTTTTCAAAATTTGTACCAGGTCCACTCTCCTTGCTTCCTCCAGCAAATCATTTCATCTATTGAGTTTTGAACATCCATTTTATGGTGGGAAATTGAAATAGTCTGCAGGTTGCAAAATTGATTGCACTAAACAGTTTCTTGACCCCATGCAGAATAAAATAAACGGAATAAGTACTTACTACTGAAATGATTGCCTCTATTCTCGTTTATTGCTAATGATTATTTCTTGGGACACGCAAAATCCGCCATTGATGACTTGATACTCGTATGTAACTATTCCCAGTCGTAACATAACCTGGGTGTAATTAGAGGTTACGGACGGATGATGTTCTTACACAGTGACAATTATCCAATGATACTCAACATTACCCTGTTAGGGCTTGTTTGTAGTTCCTTAACAGCAGCTGTATATTTATTTTCAAACCGATATATGTATATATAAAGTTCTTACTTGGAAAACCTTTCGAGTACCTCGTTTTTTCGTACCAAATGACTATATTAAATGCATTATGTAACTTTTTTCAGTCTAATTAATATTATTTTAGGCATATAAATTAACTGCCATCTAGCAAGTAGATAACTTAGCCCAGTGTCCTCAATTTTATAACAGTTAGCAATAGATTCTATGCTCACTCAATCATGATCAGCCTATAGCTGTCTCCTGCTGAACGAAAACGCCGCAAGGCGCCCTATACTACGTACGCCTAATCGCGGTCTTCACTCTACCACCTTTTTTTTTTTTTTTTTTTCCGTTCGGAAATCCCCTCGGATACCACCTGTCGGTGGCATGTCGGACTCGAACCGACTAAAACCGCACGCCGTCTCGGGTACTAATAGCCGGGGAACCAGGTATACCCTAGAAAGGAAGTCCCTGGTGCCCCGACATACCTCGGGTCATCTACAGACGAGTAGACGACCCCCCCCCCCGTGTGGGAACCCCATGTTCCCTGTGCTCCCTAGAGGCGAACGCGCTTCGCAACGCGCTCGCCGCCACCCCGGCCTGCTTCTGCTAGGGTGACAGATGGCCTCACCTGTCACCCCCAGGCCTGCGCTTATGGAGGACGGGGGTCGTTCTGCGACCTCCGGTGCCTGAGTCGCCTGCGGTACCTGGTCCGTTCCCGGGCCTGGCGGGCCGGGAGAGTCCTAAACCTCTCCCGGTCCCGCTCCGCCGTCTCCTTCGCGAGCATAACTTGCTCTCAGAAGGAGACGGCAGAGTTCCACGCACTCTCGCTCCGCACGATAGCCGCAATCAGGCTATCGAGCGAGAGAACTCCCACTCCGATGGCCGCCACATGATGGCGCCTCTGCTCAACCCACGCCGGGCACTCTGCCAGCGTGTGGAGAGCCGTGTCCACGGTCTGGCCAACGCATCACTCTACCACCTGTCGAATCCCTTTGTAAATTTTGAAATTGCTCGGGAAGAAAAGTTGTTCTTTACATGTATTTATTGTATTGAATGGTAAAGAAATTTAATACAGCAAGCATGAGCCCACCACTTTAATTGAAGCGTGGGTTATTCTGACTACTGAGCACTAAATGGCTTGTACGTGCTACTACATTAGTCTACACAAATTGATCTAGCTTTGCCAGAACTTTTATCTACGTACTTATTATCATCATTTGCCAAAAATATATACTACGGTAGATGACTGACAAGTCAAATCAGTATCTTTTTTTAAACGTCAAAATGCTAGACGATTTTTGTATGAAATACTATTTCGTGACGTCACACCTAGCTATTGTCAAATCATTTATATTTAATGTTGATTTAAAGATATCAAATCAGTAAAAAGAATAATTTGTGATGACGACAATTCAGGTTCCAATTTAAGACGTTACATTTTATGATGTAGGCGAAATAATTTATTTTAAACCTAGGAATTTACCCTATTGCTGACACAACTTTTTATTACGTTTTGTGTCTGGGTCTAATTTATTTGTCATATATATATACATAAATATATAAGTACGTCTATCAGCAGTCTGGTTACCACAGACGACCGTGTATTAGATGTGTGAGGTTATTAAGGATCCTGTAAAGACACTGTAAATATTTTAAATAAATAAAAATATTATTATTAATTAAAAGTAGATAATTATTTTATTTAAGATATTTTAGATAATTATTAGTAAATTATAAATTTAGATAATGTAGCTTAATAAAAGAAAGGAATCACGTACATCGTTATCTATATTTTGTATATTATAAAGTTATTTAATGTACAGTAGTGTCATAAAACTTGCCACCAATGGCGACATAATGTGCGTTACTTAGCGTATACCTTTCTATAAAGCTTTGGTGATACTCTCAGGAAGGAACAACATTATTCGACAAGTCCGCCACGGCAATTCCGTCGACTTACCAAAAATAGGTATACTTGTTCAAGCCTGGTTTTTTGAAACGTACACTTTGCACCCACCCATACTTCGCTACCTATATTTTTATGTTAATCGCATTCCAACAGAGAAGTTTCCATGTTTAGGAAAAGACTCCAACAGTTTACCGCCCTAGGATTATCCTTTCCTATCCTAATCGTTTCTAGGACTTCTTCTTCAGGAAGATTCTTTTACCATAAGATGTGTCACGGCAATACGAAGAAGCAAAAACTTTGAAACCTCATAAGTATAAAATTAAATGTTTTTTTCCAGATAATTCACTTGAATTCAAGCTCGGCTGCAGTGTACAAACAGCTCACAGACGGCTCCGATTGGTCACTCCTCAACTTTCGCGACGCATCAGGCGGGCCTCCACTCTTCGATATATCACTGCTGGATGTATTACATGGCATTAAGGTGGCGCATGATGCCAGGTTCTTTGATTTCGATCACTTTGATGCGGAGCAGTATTTGTTTTATGAAGTAAGTTAGATATCGACTGTATTCTTCGAATATTGTGTATTGAACATACATGCTAGACTGCTTCCATTATACGACTTATTTATTTCATAATATAAAGTATAGTTTCAAATAGTATAGAAATCAATCACGCATCAAACTAAGAAAATACAAAAAAATACCCTATTTAAGTTATCCGTTGTAAAACTGAAGCAAGTTAAATTTGCCAATATTTGTACTTTATCGCTGTAATTAACCATCTTCTATCTTTCTTCTAGAAAGTAGAAAACGGAGACCTCAACTGGATAATCCCTGGAAAAATGCTCGCGTTTTCTGGTCCTCATCATCGATCGCGTTTGGACCGCGGCTATCCCCTCCACAGTCCCGAACACTACCACCAGTACTTCAGAACTCACCGAGTCACCACTATAGTCCGACTGAACAAGAAATCTTACGATGCGAGGCAGTTCACATCACATGGGTTTGAACACAGAGAGCTTTTCTTCGTGGATGGTTCGGTACCATCGGATCTGATCGTCAATAGGTTTATAAGGATATCTGAAGCGGCGAAAGGCGCGGTCGCTGTCCATTGCAAAGGTACACATTGATTACTATATAAATACCGATCTTGATATATACTTGTTTGAATTGAGTTTAGTGTAATTCGAGCGTTCTTTTAACGTTTTAAACTTTTTCTTAATTCAACGTATTATTATTACATTATTTTATGGTTATGTGACAAGTAGATAGATAAACTAGGATAAAATAAAAAAAAATCCCTGTCAATCCTACCAACTGAGCTATATACTTGTTCCGGAGTTATTTTTTCCCAAAAGAAAAAGTGAATATCCTTTTTGTTTTAGCTGGCCTTGGTCGTACAGGAACTTTGATAGCCTGCTACCTGATGAAGCACCACGGATTTACTGCGCGAGAGTCAATTGCGTGGCTACGCATTTGTAGACCTGGCTCTGTCATTGGACACCAACAGTGGTTCTTAGAAAAGTAAGTAGAGGGACTTGGCAATAAGGTGGTGAAACGCCTGTCTAGCAACTTCAAATTTATACAACTCTGTACAAATGGTTGTTTATTTATACAAGTCTAGTTAAAACGATCGATCCATTTGATAATAACATTCCATATCAGTAAATTATTATTTATTATTATTATTTATTAGGTTATTTATAACCTAACAATGAATATTAGTAAAATATACATATAGGCAATTTTGTTTATTATAAAACCAAACATTAAAACATTTTAATAATTAAAACAACATTTATTACTAAAAAACCATACATACAACACACAAAATACAAAACTCTGTCCTGAATCTGAAAACTAAGTCTTGTATAGTCGCCATTAAAGAACTCCTGGAGAATAATTATATCATCATCATCATCAACAGCCTTTAATAGACCACTGCTGAACATAGGCCTCTCCTTAGAAAGGAGGTTTTGGCCTACTATACCACGCTGGCCAGACGGGTTGGTGTAGGGTTTGATTCAGGTTTGCCTTCTTTTTGCAGTGCTGTTGTCCTGCGTTGTTTTGCGCCCTTAGTCTTACGACACCCACGGGATGAATAGGGGTAGTGACATTCCGTATTCTTAATCCGTCACTACACGGCCGAATAATTATAACTTTACCATAAAGCAAAAGAAATATTGGACTTCTTGAATTGTTTTTTCTACTCTACCTTATTTTTTTTTGCTTTCCTTAAGTGTCCAGCCTCGCATGCACGCAGAAGGTGATGCGTACCGTCGCCGTCACAACATCACATCACTGCCGGTGTTCGAGCGCGGGATCTACTGGGACGAGCCGCCCGAGCCCGAAACACCCCCTACGATTGAGAAGCCAGTATCGCTGCACTCCATACTCAATAGCAACAAGAATGCCACAAATAAGGTAGTGACATTTTTTCATTCATACGATCTTACGCTTCTGTCCATCTAAGAAGCATTTACAGAAAAAGTAATTACGATTAAAAAAGCTTATTCATAACAGAATCATTTTTGATGTGTAACACCATTCTTGCAATATGTAGGAGTTGTTACTAGCAATGTACCATTACACAATTTTAGTGTTTTAGTGTAATAAATGAGAATAGCATCCACTACCTATTAGCTTAAATGGCTTTGGCGTAAAAAGTCTCACAGTATTTTTTCTATTTTACAGCTGGATAACGCAAATGCTTTGAACGCTAACGAGACTGATTCGGAAAACAACATAACAACTGTCATCGGCAAATACAAAACAACTCCCACGCCCATGTTGCCCACAAAGACAGTGTTCGCCCCTAAACTGAACTACATGATGCCTACGAACAATATCCGTAATTCTAATAACACAAATTTAAAACAAGCGCCCCGCGTTATTAACACAACGCTAAAATCGCATTATGCCTCAAAGACTTCCACTTTCCCGCCAACTAGAAGTGCCAACTCACAAGCCAACAAGTTGACGAGTAGTGTCAAACCCTTCACCGGGAAGAATAGTTTTCACGGTCAGCGAGCCAACCTGGCTCGGCCGGCCCTAGGATACACCCATGGAGCAAGCCCCTTAAAAACATTCGCGAGAAAGACTGTCACTGTCAGCAAAATCAGTAACAACGACAGTGCCGTGGTCACTACACTGAATAACGTAACATCGACGCTATCAGCGTTAACAGAGAATTGTCATTTGAATGGAAAAAATCGTTTGTCTTCAGAGCCTAATCTAAAATCAGTCGTACAAGCCAAACAGACAAACACAAACCTAAATGCGCGGAAGAAATTAATCGTCAGATCGAATTCCACTTCACGTAAAAAGCTGCCAAAATCTAACCTCCCTAAAACTGGTTTGGAAACCAGCCAAGAATTATCTTCGAGTGATACGAACGTTACCAACATTTCTGCTGACTCACTAGACACGCCTTTCCGTTTTAGACGGAAACGTGACAAGTCTAATAGCCCAGAACCCATGGACTGTATTACCAATTCCGTGATCACCGCAGATGTAACCCCAGATAATTTTGAGGAATCGAATAATTCTCAAGGCAACAAACTGTACAAGATTAAGGCGTTGAGGAAGAAATGTCCTGCGTTCGGTGTGAGTTTGCTAAAGAAAGATGGCGTACAGACCCGGTCAAGTAGCTGCGCCAGCAGTTCAACTGTCAAAAAGAAATGATCTTCGTGAATTGTCTAGCTCAGGACCTTATTCGCACGTGTAGTTCTAGACTTTTAACGATGTGCATAGCACACGATAGTGTTGTAATGTGTTTATGCGTTTGATAGATTTGTTTAGCAGTTTCCTGTAGGTGTAGTAGACATAGAACCTCATATATACAAGGTGTATGAAAATGTATTACTGTTATCTGTGTCTACTGAGTTACATGGTACGTTACGTACTCATTTGGGCCCGTGCAACAAGCTTATTTCCTATAAAATGTCTGAAGTTGCCTTATATTTGTTACTATACATAAATAGATTATCACATTACATATTCATAATGAAGCTATGAATCGCAGAGCATGAAAGTGACTGACTCGGAACATTTGAGTCAGATAGATTCACAACACTGAACACTAAGACCTCTTTGGATTTCCTCGTCTTCTTCAGACACCTTTAGTGAATGGTCCTATTTCGAACCCCTAAATTGGTTCTACCTAAGCCACGCTTGCTGAGGCTTGGCAAACATGCACAAGCTCCAAGCCTTTACAAACGCTTGGATACCATTTTAAGCTGCGAGTGTGTTAGTGTGTTCCGGACAGACAAAAATAAAACAGTGACACTAAGCATGTGCCAACATGTAAATACGTTGTAAGCGCTTGCCGCCAGCTTATTTTGATCTGTGTTTAATAATCGACACTAGTCCGGATCGGTGACAAGCTCACACAAGGCTAGCCAAACACCCCATGCACATACTTGTGTTTATGGACACATGTCAAGACTTGCCAAGCGTGTAAACTGTGCGAAACTTACATTACGTTAAAAAAGAATATCGAGTCCCAGTGAGTGCGAAACTAACTAAAATTTATGAAAATGCGACTGAATTTTATAATCGTGAAATTGAACTCATATCAAATCAACTCAATAAATCATTGTTCTAAACAAATTTATCGATGTTTTAGGTGTATAGAAAAGTGTTTAGCTATCTGTGGAGAACCCCGTTAAGAGCCTACATTTATAATCTCAATATTTTTTTGGTTGAACGAATGCTGGTAAAATGTAGCCGACTGACTGCCCAACAATGCCTTATCTTAGGTCTTCTGTCACTATCATCAATTATTTTTTAATTGTAAGAGAAGTAAGCTTGCCAACCAGCCAAGAATTGTGGGTGCCCACGTGGGTGTATATTATATATTTTAATAACTACCTTCTGATGGCTTTCACTCGAATGTTGTGCTATTTTTAATGATAGTAAGTATCATCAGAAAAAAAGATTCTCTACTGCTAGACCTAATTTATCGGTGCCATCTGCTGGCCGGAGGCACCCCTTTAAAGGCGCCAATTATTTTTGAATTGTTTTGCGTTCTATCTCCTCCGCATAGAAATAAAAATAGTACATATAATATATTGCAATAACCCTAAGTGGGACTTCAATATATTATTACTTGCACAGCTGGTGGGCGAAGCAGTTTTATTCGCCCACGTTTTGCCAAATATAATTTGGTTACACACGCGTAGTAGATGTTACTGTCAACTGGGCATTGTGGAATTAAAGATGGAAGAAGGAAATAAACAATTCTTCCATTCTTCCCTTCCTCTCAACAGCTCGAATACATCAGGAAAACACCTGGCACACGAACACAACAGTCATACAAAGAGATCACGGTATTATATTTTTCTGCTGATAGTGAGAGATTCTTAAATTATTATAGTTATGTTGTATTTTTGTTTTAAAAACTTGTCCGCTGTGGTTGAATATTTCATTATTCAAACAAATATACTAAATTGAGCCTTGGATTATTTGGCAGCAAAGAAAAATAAATATTATTATAAGGTAATACAATTTAGTTTAGGCAGTCAGTCGGTATGGTCCATAGACAGTGATCTTTGTTGCAAAATCGAGGATTATTTGTTTTCCTGCGTGTCTCCTATAGAGTTAGTGATAATGATGTGAAGGAGAGTGGATTTGAAGACTTAAACTTAGTAGTAACTTATTCTTTCCTTTGAATCCTGACTAAGAAAGACATGTCTGGTGATATGTTGTTCTCTTTATCCGAATTCCTCAATTTTCCAACAGAATTTGCTATGACCTGAAGGGAACTAAGAAAGGAATATTTTTGGAGCATACTAAATGAATAAGTGATTATAAAGATGCCATTTTCTTTAGCTTTTATTGAGCTGCTTGTTATTATAGATTTATTCTTGAAATGTGTTAAATTTTGTTATTCTACAATCATTTAATATTTTTATATATTCATATTATATTACATAGTTATGTTTTTAGAATGCTCAGATTTTCTATGCTAATTTCATGTAGGTACACTGAGATTTATATTTTCTTTGTGCAATAATGTTCTAGAGGACGATTGACTTGACATTGCCTTGAAATACATAATAGACATATTCCTAACATAGTTACATAGATCATATAGGGTGTAACACTTCATAACAGTATATCAATAGTATATAATTTTATACAGCATTAGTCTTAGGCAGCGGACTCGGCTTAGCGGAATATCAAGTGTTTAATTCATATTAAATATATATTTAGCTATTGTTATTTTACATAAATATGAATACACTTTGACGAATAAGTTTCGTTTCCTGAATTTTCTTCGTTTTAGACGCGAGTTATATGCGTTTATACATATTATCTTATATTCAGTTATTTAATACTTTTATACTGAGTTCATCGTGATTTTTTGTTGTTATTAAATAAAGTTATTATTATTATAAAAATAAATAAAGTTATTATTATTATTATTCGATTCGCTTATTGCTCCGCCGACCCGAGCGTGCTGCCGTAGTGCGGTGCATTAAGCACGAACTATGACAAGTTATGTTGTCACAAACACTATTCAATGGTAGCTTTGGTGAATAAAATATAATTAATGTTAGTTGTAGTTGTGTAAAGTGTTTATACGTGTTTTGGTCGTAATAAGAGTCAGTTTACATTAAAACAGAAGTATGTAACAGGAAATCTGGTGTATTGCAATTTAGACATTCAAAGTAGTTAAGTGTTAAACTTTGAATTAACCATATGTGTAATAAAGTTAAAATGTAATACATCTACTTACTTTTTAAACTTTTTGTCTATGAGATGATTTACATAATAACTTAAATGCCACTTACCTTGTTCTGGTATTTCAGAAACTTTAAAGTGTTTGTATAAAACAAAACTTGACGACATCTTAGAGTGAAGTAGCGTTTGAGTATTTAATCGTTAGATGATTTGAAATCTACAACTTAAATTGAGAGTAACGACACATTCTCAAACATTATCCTGTATCTTACTGTTAAGCTAAATTGTACTTTGAGTACTCACAATAACGTTTAAGATGCAAAATACAAACGTCCAAACAACAATACTAAGGCAGTGTGAATTATTGCTAACTATTATACATACTATAGCATTTATTTAGTCACAAACCTGTGTTTATACGTTGACAATGTAACAGGTATGTTTCACCCTATGTTTACGTCATTGTAAACATTACGGTGGGTTATTAAAAATTGGCGATTATTTGAGTTGTTGAGTTATATCTGAGTAAAGCAATGAACATGCAAACCGTTGTAAATGAGTCTCGTCTCGTCTTTGATTATTTGGAGATTGTCTTCGATGTTCACGTTGTTTTTTAGACGGTACTGAGTGCCAAGTGCGAGTTAATTTCACTTCTCCTCGATTGTCACGATGACGGCGTTCGGCGTTACGATTGGCCCGCACTGAAATTTAAACCAATCGTAACGCTAAACGCACTCGCCATCGAGAGCAACTCGATGTGAAATAAACTCGCACTTGGCCCTCTGAAACACAATTCGCTTTATTTCTCGATTAAGACAAACAAAAGAAATCGTTGTAAACCGTTGAAAACAATGTAAAAGGATCAACTGGTTTTTTTTTCAAGTTAATAAGTTCACGTCTTATGTGTAACAAAAATTTAAAAAGAACTTAAATTTTTTGTTCAATTTGGAAATTTCTGTTAGACTGTTTTCTTAACGGGCCTGATCTGTTGCATTGTCACCGTAATTTTACATTGAGCCTATTAACAGTTCCATAAAACTGTACGAATTTACAGTGTCATATCAAATAAGTTGTAATCGCTTGAGTGTTGTATATTAGCGGCGCGCTTGCCGACCAGGTAGCGCTCATTCTGTGTTGTTTCTTGGCAATAAGTGTCTATGGTTCGACTCGTTCCATTTTTGAACTCGGAATACATTAAGGAGATTAATAATTGAAATGATAACCGTGAAATTGGCGACAAAATCATCCAGTACATAACATATTTCAAAATACTGGCTTTACTTTAGTTTTTAATTTGAACATAATATTATTTCATAAAAAAAAATAGGGTTATCTACAAATTACTATTAAAGAGAGTTATCGTAATGGCTACTTTTATATCTGTTTACGTTACTCCCACATTCTTTAGTAATTTACAAATACTTCTCTAATATGGTGTCAACTCATGCCAACCGAGACTAAAATTTAGAATTCACTTTCATTTTTAACTCATACGTCATACATACATCCCCGTCGAATCATAGACACTACGTCATAGCTAGTAAGGTAAATAACTGTTATTAACGTTGTAAAGACTGTTGTCTATACCATTTATTTCATACTGTTTTCGAGTGTTCTATATTTACAGTTCAAATTTGAATGAAAGATACTGAACTATGTACACTTATGTAAGTTTGTACACTTGACTTGCCTAAAATGTACTTTTATACATATTGGCATTTTTATAATTAAATTCGTATTTATTAAGGTAGTATGATACCTGATACACACTTGAAATACACACTTTTGTTAACCCCGTACAACTTAGATGAGTGTGAATTCTACTTATAAAGATTTTTATTGCAATGACATTAATGTACTTTATACCCTAAAAACAATACCAGGCTTTTTTAGGGTATAAAGTACATAACCTAACCTAACTGAAGGCCCTTTTAAGAAATATATAAGCCGTGAAAATCATTATATTAATTAAATCATATTCAGTCGGTCGTAAGCCCTAACTCGCTACAACATGTTATTCAAAATTGAACTGTAAGTACAGCACCATTATAAATATACATACGCTTTAGAGGTGTGGTAGCTAAAGGGTTGATTACAGTTGACAGCTTAGGGTTGATTTTTCCGTGTACTTCAATTTTATATAGTACTTATTTACCGCCGGGTGCAATCTTATTGTTGTATTTTTGTTTGTATCAACATCAAGAATTAAAATTTGTTAAAGAATAAATGTTAAAATATCTGAAGGTATAGATTTTTGTATCTGTTCTATACATTTTTTTTATATATGTTTCTCTTTTACACTTTCTTTTAAAATCACAATAGAAGAAGAAATTAACGTTTATTGTTATTTTTCATTAATATGTTTAACATTTTTCTCCTATATTTTACAATGCATTTTATGTAAGGTAAATATGATCATTTTATTTAACTACTGATTTATTTCATATTTAAGTTTAATTTACTTTGAATTTTTAATATCTTCCATTGTTACAATAAAACAACATTATTTTGACTAATACGAGCCAGGGTCGTATATTTCATATCTATTTAATTATTATTATAGTACATTGACATCAAAGTCACTTGAACTAATATTCCACTATTAATTATAAATAGTTGAATATAAGTACAAGTGAATTTGATTTCACAATGTATTTCAACAAGTTCCACCAAGTAAAGACAATCGAGAGTATACATTATTATAGTAATTGGTTTCAATACTCCATAACATTTATTATAAAAGTGAAATGAAGAGCATCTTGAGATATGTTTCAAAAATCCAATTATTATTGTCCAAACAACTATATATATCTAATTTTTTAATATCGTGTTTTTACACAGGTGGGTGGACTTAGAAGATTCTTGACTGTTTCGTTTTTAATGTTGTACATTTAAATGACCGAACCGTTTTTGTTAATTTTAATAAATTAAGCTAAATCAATAATTTATTTGTAAGAGTTATATTTTTATTCACAATATTTTTGTAAAGATATGTTGGTGCGCAGGAGTCGATTGGACAAAGGGACCAGAGCGTTGCTTGTAGTGATACAAAGATTGTATTGTACATTATTTTGCATCTGTTGTCTAGATGTAGTTTAAAATTAATTATGTTGTGATCTAATCAGTTACTAATATACGTGCATTATTACGTATAGTTATATAATATATGTATATAACCGGTGGCATCATGACGTCATCGTCATGGTGTACAAACGCTTGTGCTTATTATAAAATTAAAAAGATATATTCCAATTTATTGAGTGGTTTTATTTACAATGTTTATCAACAATTGAGTACATCAGGCGGATGTTATACAATTTATTGGTATTTCATACCTATCGAAATGAGATAGTTAAGTAAATATTCTAAACATGTGAGTACGTTATATGCATTTAGCAGTCATTTAGTAGTAATAAAAATAGGAAAGTAGGTAATTTGACGCGAAAAACTGGTCAACTAAGATTTTAAATGTTGGCAACACTGATTATGTGTTGCCAACTTTGAAATCTTGCCTCTAAGTTTGAATTCTTGAATCTACCATAGTTAAAAAAAACCTTAACGAAAGGCTGATTGAAAACACTGGCTAACAACATTTTCAATACGTTTATGCCATATACATAGACGGCGAGCGCGATTAAGAAAATAGGCAATACGACTAAGATCCAGTGACAAAAAAAAAGAAATATCACTTCGTAAAATCGTCAATTACTTATATTGCCTAAAATATTTTAATATATAGGTGCAATTTGGATTCGAAATTATATTACACGAATACGTCTGGTTTGTTTCTGAGTGTTGAAGTGATCTCGTCGATCACATGCAGCGCCCTTTTTGGAGGCTTGTACTAAAAAATATTTTATGTCATATCTGCCAACTATTATTAATTATATAGTTAGCCATGGAGCAAATCCGTGCCACCTAGGTTCCTAATAATTGGGGAGCCTATGATGGTAAATGGGGATTTACTAGAGGTTCATGGGGACCTATTGCATTTGAAAGAAAAGCTTCTACAGGTTTTCAAAAATGTAAGGGGAGGGAATCGAAAATAAAATATTCGGGCGCATCTGATATTTTGGTGATATTTGTACTCCAAAAATGCTCCCATTGGTTATTGGTTATTTGGACTCCAAAAATGCTCCCATTAGTCTGACGATTTTAAAGTGACACGAATTACGAAAAATGCAAATTTGAAAAATCGCTATTTCAAAATACCCAACCATATTATATTCTATTCAGACGATTCAGCTTGATATTCCTGTCATACTAGCCAAAAATCTGACGATAATTTAAAAGGGTACCTATTTTAAATCTGACGGTTTGAAATATTTTGAATTGTTGATTTTTTATAAAATGTGACAAATAAAGGCATGAAAAATTATGTAGACATTAAAAGAAGATTTCTTCCATTGTTTGCTTAAAAATTAAAAAAAGAAATATCAAGGTCATGTTTTTTTTTTTGAAGTATGTTACGCTCAAATCGTCAGATTTTTTCAAATACACACTAATGTGCATGTAATTGACTCAACTTACCTTAATACACGCTCGAGTATTTCTGACCATCGATTTTTTTTACTAATCTGATGGGCTGCCCTATACGATCCCCCCTATATGTAGGGCTCATGTATGGTGGAGGTACTACCTATGTTAATCTGACACGCTCGAGTAAATCCCGAAATCCCTTCTAGGGCTCCCCTACTATAATTAAGAGCAATCAATTTGCACAAATGTAAACAAAATTCTATAAGTTTTGTGCGTATTCGTAGAAATATATTTTCAATATGCAACCAACTTTATATATCTACTTACAGCCCAAAAAACTATCTTAAAATAATCTAATTAAAGTTCAAAATTCACTAAATCACTATTCTTTAGGTTTAGGTAAAGGTTTAGGATTTTTTATAAAGGTCTATTCACACTAGAACTCATACTGCGATACGATGACGACGAGTCTCGCGACCGCACTCCCGGCGAACATGCCTCGCTGGTATAAAGACATAGTCAGTTCCATTTCCACCACTTGAGGGCCTTCGAGTGAGCATAGGAGAGAGATCACGCAGATGTTGTTGGAAGGACGCATGCTGGAACATGTAACAGTTTGTAAAAAAAACATAAACCAACAACAAGCTAGTTATGTGACAGTGATGTACCGCTGAGCTCGAAAACTCAGCTTATCTTAACTTATAAGCCTTAGTCTTCGCTACAGGAAATAGAAAGAATATACACGGTACATAAAAAAATACATAAGTGTTGACACAGCATTAATAAATTAACGCAAAAGCATATTACCTTAATTTCAGTTTTTAATAAACTACAAAAAAAAGGAGTAGTTGCTCAATTCGGATGGATGCGGACCACCCAAGTCCGGGATAGTCGGCGCTCTTTGGGGGAGGCCTTCGTTCAGTAGTGGACGACGATAGGCTGATGATAATGACCATGTCAGCGATGGAAGTCAGTGATATTTATTTTTATTTTTCAAAATGATTGTACTCACTCGAAACATCTCATGTCAGCGGGCCTGACGCCGTGTGTTGCTTGTACACTGACCATTCGCATTTCGAAGCTAACGATAGATTCGCTCCACGAAGGGCCGTGCATCGTGAACAAATCCACCTGGAAACATCAAGTCAGAAGCTACTTCTACATATATTTTATTGCTGTTGAGTAGACAGTACACAGCAGGAGTCCTATCATTGAAAGGTGATAACTCAAATTAGAAATTGGTGATAAATAATATGTTTTAAGATTAGCCATTATTAAGAAATAGTTAGATACTATATATATGTATATATTTTCTCCGAATGACAACATTTTTGCAACGATGATATTATTTCGAATTTAAAATTATATTTCTCTTTATACTCACACTGCCCGTGGGTAGGTAAATATTAGCTACGAATGTGATAAAGTTGTAACTGTAAGTGCTGGGCTGCCGCAGACATGTCCAGTCACCAACTTGGCAGGAACGCTGAATTCGCGTACAGCGGCTGAAAAGATATAGTTTTTAGTGTGTGTGTGTGACAATAAACGTTTTTAATAAACTTGATCGAAAAACCTCTAATGCAGACTAGTACTCGTGACAGTAAGAATAAATGAAAAAACAACAATGACTGAAGAAACATCCCTGGTGTATACCCTACTCGTCAGGAATGCTGCCCGACTGTCATGTAACAATAATAATCATAATATTCAGATGACAGAATGGAGCATGAGCGTCTAGACAAACTGCTTTACATGGTTTTAATAATTTTTACACGGTTACAGGATTTCTTTTAGATGCTACGAGTGCTACGACTCGCTAGCGGGTAGTAAAGCATGATGGCTCCAAAAAATAAGTACATAATTATCATTCCTATTGGAGTGATGGTTATTTCTATTTCTTAGGTTTGCTCGTTATTTCTTTTTAAATTTAACTAAAACAACAATTTACTTAACATAGTACTTTTATATTATGTTTCTAAATACAATAGAAAAATTCTAATAGAAACTACCCGAAACATAATAAATATTAAACAAATTGAAATAAAGCTATAGTAAAGCTTTCGTACGAAACGTTAATTTCTTTGAACCTAATTCGCCGGGGGGCGGGGGTTTATTGGTCTACTTTTTCTTAACACGAATGGACTATAGTCCAACTTACTCTTGCCTCCACCTGGATTCTAATTACCTACCTATATACAATATAGGTATTAAATTTAGTTACAAAACAGTTCCAATTCATAGGAGAGCTTACTGCTTAGACTCTAGTTGGTATCCTGAGGGACAGTCGATGTGGTGACAGTGGTAGCTGCCTCGCGTGTTCTGGCACACGGTCCCTGGTGCGCTGTCACAGTGCGCCGTGCCTGTCTCGCACTCATCAATGTCTACAAACCAAATTTAAAAAAAATACATTTTAACGCTTAATTATTTCTTTAAAACTAATAACATCAAAATTTACGAGTAGGTTGATTTGTTCGACCGATAAACATTACAAAAATAGTATATTGTTTCATTGATCTTATTTTATAGACAGCACAGTAGACGATGCTTTTATGTTGTTCAACTTTGAAATATGGAGTCAAAGAAACATACAAACTACTACAACCGTGAGCAAAGCAGATTCACTGGACTAGAAATCGTTGTAAGTTGAGACTAGATACGTACCTAATGAAGGTAAACTTAGGAATTATTGTTATAACCGCTAAATGGTATGGCATAAAATTTTGCACTGTTTTTTTTTTAAATAAACTAAGTAGTAGGGAATCGAGGGAACGATGAGCAAGATCAACGTGTTCAGTAAGCAGAATCTAGTTCTTGAAATTTTTTAGAGTCATACCTATACAACTCCTGCCATCTTCAGACAGCCTATAACCTTCAGGGCAAAAACACCGGTAGCTGCCTGGCTCATTGATACACTCGCCACCACACAGTTTACCGCGCGAACGCACCGATGAGAACTCTTCACATTCATTCACGTCCACGCAAGTCCTGGAAAATATAAAAGGATGGTAAATATTTAGTACATTAAAGAGTGAGTTTGATTGTTTGTTACGCTCTCGCAACCACTAAATCAAGAACACTCATCTAGAAAAATAGTTTGCACGAGGGTAAATTACTCTTTATTTATTATATATTATTGACAATGCGTATAAAGCACTTGGTTTCATAATTCGCGTTTCCAGACCTTTTAAGCATATGAAAACAATAAAAATTCTCTACTGTGCCATCTCGAGTTTCCAAGTCAAATTTGGAATCCCTGCTGTAATGTCTTCAGTAATAATGGTTTATCAGATACTTAGGTTTAAAGTTAAACTACTACATCTCGATTATGAACAGCAATGCAGCAAACTTCATGTTTTGCCTCCTTTTTTTTCATTAGAAAAATAGTAGATATCTGTTTTCTCTTAAATATCGCTCAAAGCAAGTTAGACTGTCCTAATATCCTTTCCAATAATAAACTTAATGTGCCCGGAAATTTACGTTCCAGTAATCTACTCTACGTTCCATTTTGCCACAGTAATTATCAGTATAATAGCTACATACCAAGAATTACCAGATCATTTAATAGACTAAAGCATAATGAACTCATCGATCTATTCTGTAGTTATGTCATCTGCATAAATGTTATGTCTTTAGACCCTGAATTGTTGTAATAATCCATGTATATTTTAGTCTATGTAGTATGTATTATTTTACATATCAGCACTGTCTCTTTCTACATGTGGAAGCTCGTAAATGGCATCTAAAAAATTAACATCATATGTATTTTGTAAATTTAGCCGTAAGCTCCCCAAATAAAATAAACTAAATAAAATAAAAACGATTGTCTGTCTAATTTGGTCAGAAATTCAAATTTACTTTAATGCTTTCAATAACATCTGTTCTGAAGCAGGAGTTGAATCTACTGCAGATGAAAAGGTTTAAAGTATTATTTGTACCCTAACATGCCAAGATATTATATAGAGGCAGGTAAACTTACTTGTTATCGTCGTCAATCCGATAGCCCTTTCTGCAATAACACCTGTAGCTGCCCCAGGTGTTGGAGCAAGCTTGTGAGCATACACCAGGTGTTTCTGAACATTCATCCAAGTCCACGCAGACTTTATCGTTGGAAGGCGCGTTACGGAAACCATCACGACACATGCAGCGGTACGAGCCGTAAGAATTTACGCAGTCGGAGTTATAGCCGCATGGCTGGAAGAAAGGTTTATTATAATTATAATAATCATTTATTTGACCAACATATTTATTACAGTGTAGGACATTTCGGTTTAAAATAGAACTTAGATAATAATTAGACTAAGTTACACTAGCGTAAAACTATAGTAGTGTTATTTTATTCTTATGATTGAAATTTATTTATTTTAATTATAAGAATCGAATTATCGAATTTAAAAGAATGAAATGCAAGTTTTTGGCAATGACGTCAAATCCCGCCTAAGTTATTTATATATCGCACAAAAATTGACTATTTATTGATTGTTTAACTGCTGGGGATAAATAATCTGGTTTTTGGAGACCAGACAGACTTAAATCTACTTTTTATATTTACATGGTCTGCTGTAAATCGGTAACCTAACAAGGATTTCGGACCGAACTCAGATCAAGTAAGGCAGTCGGATGGTGATGGTTACAATGAAAGGGTATTCACAAATCGATTTTGGGCCAGAAAGCCATAGAGCGTGGTAATAATATAGATGTACTCAAAATCCATGTTCGCGAGTGAATGAATTATCGATTCAAGCTTATCACAAAGCAGGACAACAATTTACTACAACTCTATAGCTATGATGAGATTACTTTAAAAGACAGTTAATCTTTAAGGTAACTTATGGTACATTTTTAATAGCTTTCCACTTAGGAATAGATTAAGACTTAAGAAGATTAAGACTACTGACGTTTCCATGCATACACTCGTTGATATCCTCGCACTGGTTCTGTCCGACAAGGCGGTGACCAGACGGACACTGACAGGAGTACCCGCCGTAGAAGTTTTCACAACGTTGCTGAGGACCACACTCGGATACATTGCGCGCACACTCATCAATATCTGCAAGTTGAATACAAGATGATTGCAGACTCCCGTTTGACATTCATAAGCCTTCTTAGATAGATTTTGGTGATAGTAATTTTTGAACATGTTATGCCCAAAATACGACGACGACGAACTTTACTAAATACTAAAGTCAAGAAATTTAATAAGAGAATTATCATGTCCATATTTCCTTCATAAAAAAATTCATCTTGTAAATGGTTCTCTAACGTCTACATAACAGAGGTCTTTCCTAAAGACTTTCACAGCGAATGGTCTAAGTTCACCGTGGATATTGGTTACTTTTTATTAAACTGCAGTGGCATGATAGTTATAAACAGTACAATAAAAACGCGTCGCAGTTCTTAGTGTTACCAACAATTAACTAGGCACATGTCTATGATTAAAATTCATACACGAAACAACTAAAAGTGCATGTGTGTGTGTCTCCTCGCACGTTTCTTAGCACTCACCATAACATCTCTTTTCGGAAGTAAGCCTGTAGCCCCACGGACATGAGGCGGCCACAGCTCCAACATCTGGTATCCTGGAATAGACAGGTCGCTGAGAGTAGGGACCCCGTTGTCCGTATTGGGCGCCCACTGTGATGACGTTACGACCTCCGCTAGATCCGGCCGGCCGAGGGGCAAGTGTCGTACTGGTGGTGGGGATAGCTGAAAAATGTATAAATGAAATAATAAGTTTCTTAACGTCCTTTTCTCCTGCGAGTGTTTTATCTTCTTTTCTGTTGTAGAACTTCCAATTGATTTTCACAAGCTTTACTTACGTGTTGTAGAAGTCGGTCGCTCCGCCTCACGACACTTCTGGCCGCACTCACAACGGAAGCCGCCATCGATATTGATACATTCCTCCTTCGCTGAACATGTAGCAGCATTCGTCGCACACTCATCTATATCTAAAATAGAAAAGAGGTTTATTGGTTGATAATGTTGTAACAGTTATTTTTTTAGTATATTGCCAAAAGCGACATCTATTGCCCCCCCGTCGCATGTGTTGATTTATCTAAAGTAGTTTATAACTACAGTATTGATGTTCTTCCTTCGCCGTCGGACCACAAGATGGCGTTTGTTTGTAGATAGATTTTATTGATTTATCATGACAAATTGTATAGGAGTTGGAAGTGTTCTGTTATGGTAGGAAGCGAGTTACTTTTGATTTTGTTCGTGTTAACCTCGTTGATAATTTAAATGTCAAAGTAAAATGTTAAGTAGGGATTATTTCTGGAAACTTCGGAAACCGAACATATATAAGTCCGGCTTTCAGCCACGGGAGACACTCTGGGAGACACTCTTTCTCGGTACCCTCTGGCAAGCTGGCAGTCACGCGGCTCCCAAAGCAAGCGGACAGCCGTACCCAAGGGTTACGTACTTCTATTTAACTTTATAAATACCAATAGTGAACTTTTCTCAATATCTAATATAAATAGCCGACTCGGGCGGAAGGGGAAGTGACCTCCTGGAGTGAAAACGAGGAGGCTCCGAGCACCATCAGCTCGGCACTGACGCGCTCCGCTGCGGTTTTTCTTGTACCCACTGATTAATTTATTTATTTTTCTATTGTAACTTTAATTTTGTTTTTGAAATATACATGTATGTATGACTGAGGTGTAAGTTGTCTTCCTCTAAGGAATCCCGTAGGTTTCCCACACGCACACACTTCTGTTCTTTTAGAAGGCGCCCTGAGGTAATCTCATAAATCTCTCCACTGGGTCAGCCGGTGAGTAGTCCGCCTGAGAAGAAAAGCGGCTACAATGTTTTAGAGTCCAAGGCGTCCAAGCTTACTTCGTGTATATATGTATAATAACCTATATAGAGATGTACACCATATATACATCTATATATAACCATGCAGAATCAGATTGAAAGTCTAAGAAATATTACCGTAAAAAGTATAATGTGTAGTGCATGTCGTTAGTCTCGCAATTTTGTTTCCATGAAAAAATAAAATCGTTTCGACAATTATTTAAACATTACAGAATAAGCTGATTTAACAAACTTTTTTATACGACTAGCCTAATACGAGGTTTTTTAAAAGTATACATCCTGTCAAACATTTGAGAAAGAATTAAGCTGCTAGAACATAGTTATGGTATTGTGGAGGAACGGGTGTCATGTCCCTCCAACACAAAGGGAGGATCCTCCGACCAGGCGAGGTGATCATGCCTGGCCCGACGGTTGATGTCTGGAAGTTGTATATATGCTAATCGGCGAGGGAATTCTTTATATCGCGATACAGGATTAGCAATTCTTATTTTAGTAGTTACTCCGTAGTTCGGTGTGTCTTCATTAGATGGCGCTGTAGTATGTTTCTATTTCTTTGTGTGTAGGAGTCGCCACGGTATTAAATTAAGAAATAATAAAACACAAAAAGTAATAACATTTGCGATTAGCACATTGCAGTTAGCAAAAAAGGAGCGAGACAGTTGTGGATAGAAAAGACTATGAACATCTTACCAACACACATATTACGTCGAGTATCGTAAGTGTATCCGAGTTCGCATGGCGGTGGTGTGTACGGATATCGGATGTGGGGCCGCGTTGGTCTGTACGGTGGCCGTCGCACTGGCACCGACACTGTAACATTTTTATATTTAAGTATTCGTCCATATTCATTACATTACAGAATCATACCATTTTAACATCTGTATTAGGTATATTATTCTATACTTTTTGGGCAAATTAGCAATTACGCATATGCAATAGCGTGATAACGTAATTATCACGCTATTGTTAAACAATCATGTGAACTGAGAAGGATTGCATATATTTTTTGGAACATAGTACTCCGTGCTAAATTAATTATCTCGCAATTGGAAATGTTGCTAGGAAGGCTATCTAGTCGTCCGTACTGGTTTGAGTTAACTTATCTAACTTAACCCAAAAACCAGTATCTAGCAGCATAAGGTTTGTGAAATCACAGGGCGAGTTATTATGATAACATATCTGTGATTGATTCACTTTCCTATATAATTGAATAACTTTAGTCAAATAAAATCATTTTCCTGTAATTTCATGTGGTGACGGATTAAGAATACAGAGCGTCACCACCCCCCATTCATCCCGTGGGTGTTGTAAGAGTCGACTAAGGGAGTAAACTACGCAGGACAACAGCACTGTAAAGAGAAGGAAAACTTACTCTAAGGAGAGGCCTATGTCCAGCATTGGACTAGTAAAGGCTGTTGATGATGATGATGATGATTAAATTTAAAGTCCAAGTACATAAGGTAATATTTCGTACCAGTAGTTGTAGATGTCGTACTTGTAGTTGAAGTGGAGGTACTGCTACTGGTGTTCGGGAGGGGGACGCAATATCCAGATGCGTCCTTCCTGAATCCTGTGATACACTCGCAGATGTAGCCTCCAGGTCTATTCCTACAGGTTTCTAAGTTCCTACACGCGTGTTGGCCAGTTGCGCACTCGTCATCATCTAGAAATTACCAGAAGACATTTATAAAGAGCTTAAGAGCTGATATCAGTGAAAATTTACAGTTACCCATGAAATCATTTATAATAAAAGCCGCCAATGGTAGGAAAAAAAACGATTTCCAGGCATTTTTTGATAGTAACATTGAAGTTTAGTTTAAGTAGGTATTGAGCTGTTTTTGTCTTTACTTAATAGATCTAAATTTTACATTGGTGTCGCAAGACTTGGCAGAAGAAAAGCATGGTTAACAGTACTACTAGAAAAATAAATAATTCCTTACCAACGCAAGTTCCTTCATCATCTTTTATATATCCATCCAAACAATGAACTTCATCAGGATTGAAATCCGCATCAATTGGATTCTCATCTTCTATTTCATTCATTCTTCTATCGTCTGGCACTTCTGGGCTGGGTTCCAGTGTGTGGGTAGTAGGCTTATGCTCCGGTCTGGTGACTCCTGTTTCTGGTCTTACAGGATCCAGTCTTCTAGGATAATCTGGTCTACGAGGGTACTCTGGTCTTCGTCTAGGAGTGGTGGTTCTTTCTGTTGTGGTAGGATTTTGGGGTCTAGGTCTGGTGGGATAGTAAGGATAGTAAGGGTACTCGGGCCGGCGTGGTCTAGGTGTTGTCGTTGTGGTAGTTGTAGTAGAAGTGGTTGTGGTGGGGGCAGGAGTAGTAGTGGACGTTGTTGTTGTTGGTTTAGGTGTGGTTGTGGTAGTAGTAGTGGTAGTTGAAGTGGTAGTTGGTTTAGGTGTAGTGGTGCTAGATGTGGTTGGTATAATTTGAATGTTATCAGGATAATTCACATCTGGGTTTGAGGTCTCCTCGCTGTAAATATAATTTGTGGATATTTTTAAATATATAAAAATATAAGAACTAAGAACGTTAATAGCCAACCGTTACTCACTCAGAGTCGTAATATTCGTATTCATATAGTGGTGGTGAGGTGGTGCTTGTGGTGGTGGTACTGCTAGAGGTTGAAGGGGCACGACGCGTGCACGTGAATGAACCCAGCAGGTTTTGACAATACTGGCCGGGTCCACAGTTGTCTAACTTTAGAGCGCATTCGTCTACATCTGAAGATGAATGGATAAAATAGAAGTTTGTTAAAAAGGTTTTATAAATTGAATTATTATTGCTGGTTGCTAACAAAAGAACAAATCGATTCAATTTATATATTCAAGAGAGAAGTAGGTTCCTACTTATTTAAAAAAGGTTTATAAAAGTTTAAGATGAAAGCATGAAGGTATAACAAAATGATTGATTTTTTTTAAAGGAATATGAGGTAAGCATTTAATTATGTAATGTGAAGCGGATACGTTAGCGACATGGGTAATGACGAAGATTGTAAGAGCCAATTAAACACTGATTAACATCATAATTACGGAGATGCAAAGAATCGTCAGAAGATTTAGCAATCATATCTTTACAGCCATGTTTGATTTTCCCATACAGGTGTAGATCGAAGTATAGTACAAGTGATATAGTATAGTAAATATATAACAGTAATACAATTATTATAACTCTTTGAGCAAAAGGGACTATTACAAAATGATTTTCGTTACTAATCCTGCTAATCAATAGACATAATTTAAATCATAAATCAAAATAACGTCACATATGTTCGAAGAAACTGCTGTTACTCTTTATTTCTACTCTACAAATATATCTTCAATTCTTTAATGCAAAGAAACAGCAGTTTAAATACCTACTTTTCAAGAGGGTTGTTGGACTTAAGATTCATAATGCATATCTTTACATAGTATAAAATAAAGTTGCTTTTTTGTTGTACGCTTAGATCTTTTAAACTAAGCAACGGATTTTAATGCGGTTTTCACCAATCGAGAGAGTGATTTAAAAGGAAGGTTTATATGTTTAATACATGCATATTATAGTAGAGGAAATCCAATAATTTCAAAAATTTGACATAAAAAACATGGTTTTGCGCGTTTACATTGCAAGCGCTGGCTAATCCTTATAGTAGGGGAGCCCTAGAAGGGATTTCAGGATTTACTCGAGCGTGTCAGATTAACATAAGAGCAATACCTTACACCCAGTTGAGTCTCTCCACAGATCATCAGATTAGTTAAAAAAAAAAAATTGGTTGCCTGTAAAGTCGGTATACGGGCGAAAGTTTTACGTGACAACGACTTTGAGTGGTAAAATAATTTTAATGTGAATATTCATTCGTATAGTAGGAAGAAGGATGAAATAATAGTAACAATTTAAAACATTTATTTATACAAAGAATTATATTTAAAACATTAATTTATACAAAGAATCTCGCACTGAATTTCATATTAACAAAATTTTATTTTTACCTTTACACAAACCATGCCCGAGTGGAAGGGACGCGTGCCTTTCACTCGCTCTCATTGTGAGCGCATAACGTGAGCGGAGCGTAACGCAGTTTCTTGAAGTGTCACCCGGCAAACCAATTTATAAGACGTTGTCACGTCAAAACAATGGCCAAAAATACTCGAGCGTGTAAGATTAAGGTAAGTTGCTTGTGTCACTTTTAAGTCGCCAGACCCTTCAATGCGAGCATTTTTGGCGTCCAAGTAACATATCCCCAAAATATCTGATGCGCCCGAATATTTTTTTTTATTTCTTCCCTTACATTTTTGAAAACCTGTAGAAGCCCACCGCTGAAAGTGGAAATATTTTATAACTTTTATTCATTCTATTACCTAATCTTTCAAATGCCATAGGAGCCCATGACGCTCGAGTAAATCCCCATTTAGCATTATGGGCTCCTCTACTGTTACGAGATAGACTAAAAAAAAGTACTTCAGAATTGTATTTCTTATAAAGATCTACAAAAAGTACCCAATGGTATTTGTCTATATCCTAAAGATATCACAGTAACCACTTTTATCTATTAAATATTACATATTATTATAAACATTTTACATATTATATTCCATTCCTCCATCGATCGTTGCATAGTTAACACGTATCAATTCTGTTACAAAGTTTCTCAAACACCCTCAAGATGGCAAAATGCACTCGTTGCAATAAAGTCATAACAAGGAAGTCCCCAGAGCTGGAGTGCAATAAATGTAGCAGTGTGAGTGTGACACATGCAAGCACTAGCTGCACCGAGCTCATCGCAATACAGCTTAGTTTATTGCAAGCAGCCAAAAACCTCGAATGGACTTGCCATCAGTGCGCGGCTAAATTACCTAAACGATATTCGCTTGTAGTCCCGAACAATGAAGAAGATGAGGATGATGACATGCAGGGTGATGGAGCTATATACCTAAACGACACGAAGAAACTCGTAGCTGACATCACTAAACACATGGAAAAAGTGATCAAGCGTGACCTGAAAGAACTGCAACAGGCAGTGCAGTTTACAAGTGATAAAATGGATGAATGTTTTGAAAGCATAGAAGCATTCAAATAAAAGATCAAAGAGCTTGATAAGAAAAATGCTGATCACAAACCGCAACAAACACCTAGAAAGAAGATTGGAGACGCAAGAGCAACGTCTGAATGAATATGAACAAAGAGAACCAAAAAATTGGTTGAAGTCCAAGGAATTCCTACTCAAGATAAAGAAAATCTAAGCGTCATCGTTGGAGAACTCGCGCGTAAACTGCAAAGGAATCCGGAGGACTTAAAACAGGTAAAGCGAATGGCTATTAAGGAAGGCAAACTTGAAACTCTTCACATTAAGCTTTAAAATGCAGAAGCGCTGGGTAGACGCTGCGCGAGAAATATCGGTACAGGTCTCCTATGTAGTTACTGGCTGTGACGCAGTAATAAATAAGAATAAAATATTTATACGTCCATTACAACGCATTTAAAGAATCTCAGAAATCTCGAATGCCAAACAGGAACTAAAAGAGACCTATAAATATATCTGGTGCAGAGAAGGTGGGGTACTTTTACGTTGGAGCGGGATCTGTGGGGACGCCCCTACCGTATGGTTAGGGGCAAGATGCGCCCATGGGCCCCGCCGCTGACCCGTTTTCATTCCAGGCCGAGCGTGGGTCCTGGCCTTAGAAGACGTAGCTCTCGAGCCTATATATTCCAGGCTAAATGACTATGACAGAAACAACAACTTCAAATGGCTACAAGCTACTGTTTTAATCGGCTTTATCTTCTGTAGGGAACTTATGCCCTCCTGTTTTATTTGCACACATAGGCACTGCCCAACACTGTGGTATTTTAGAAAACAATATCCTTTTGTAACGTTTTTAAGAATGAATAAACCAAAAAAATGATCGTAAAATACAAATTTCAGAACATTTCAGAAAACCCCGCTTCCGTCCGTTCGCGGCTTATCATAGAGATTGGTATAGAACTATTTTTGCATGGACCTATTGTGTATTAATCATGAAGGGAGTGTACAGCTAAAGTGGAGTTGTTTTTTTTTCTCATACATGCCTGATCCCATGCCTGATCCCTGATCCCATAGTGTGGAGTATCCTTGGATAGGTGTGATACACCAAACATTGAGAAGGTCTTCAAACTTTAACTTTAACGTACTTTTGTTAGAGTCAAGTGTTTATTGACTTTAAAACTCTAAAAGAAATCATAATAAATATAAATAAAAGCCTAAGTAAGGTGATTTAACTTTAAAAGTATTAACTCATAAAATAATTCGTAAAAAAGTCATGAGAGAATCATTGCTTAGATCAAGTAACATGTTTAAAACTACGGAACTACTAAATTTCGGAACCCTCCACTTGGTCGGTTTTAAAACTTACCCTCACAAGAGCCAGACACGAAATTTAGCTCAAAACCATTTTTGCAGCGGCACTCGTGACCGCCGAAAGTATTAATGCAGTTCTGGAATTGGTCACAGAGGTGAGTTCCCTCTCGGCACTCGTCAACATCTGTAATGCACATAATTTATACGATGATGACTATTTCTTATGATACTAATATAAAAGAGAAAAATTAGAACACAACTTCTGCACGTACCTTCACAGATTACTCCACCTGGACGGAGTCTAGTTCCTTCTTGACAGGTCTTAGACGCCAGTCTAAGGAAAAATGTTTACGATTACATTTACGCGTTCGTGATTAGGGTGATAAACGTCAAACGTCCAGTAGCAAAGAATGAATTATTTGCATGACTAACGAATAAATTACAAACATGTTTGACTACTGTGTGATAGTAAAAGAATTAAAAATATATATTTATATATAATAGATGAAGACATTTATAGCAATTTAATTTAATAAATTAATATATAAATTGTACTCGTAGGTATAATGGGACTAAAAGCATTTCAGGAAACACATACACACACAACTTGTAAACATTTTACTATTAGTGTGTGTGTGTTTGTGTGTACGTTTGTGTGTAAAACATATATTTTTTAAACTACATAACAAAATAATAATAAATTTTATCCTACATCCACCACACCTCTGCGCGCTGTTAGTGTTTACAAACCTATATCAACTCATACTGTGACTTTACTTTAAAATTAATAATTTTTTGTTTAATAATTTGTTGTTTTAAAGTCCAGGATCGCTAAACAAATCACATTTTCCGCTTTAAATCAGCACGTTACTTACTTCGGCAGAGTGCTTATCTTCGATTTGCAGTCGTAAGCTCCTGGTAGATTAATGCACACTTCAGATTTCTGGCACACCTCGGAACTCTCCTCACATTCATCAATATCTATTAAAATAACATTGCTTTATTAACTTCATCGAACTATCAAACTCTTCATGTCTTTTTTTGGAACGTAACAAAATAAGTATAATTATGGCATATAAGACCTCCTGTCAATCAAACCAAGTTTTACCCTCTAGTGGCAGTTACCAGGTATTCTCCAAAGCAACTAATTTGTTACCGGTGTCGGAGTCAATGGACCGATGATAAATTATCTTTTAAAAAAAAACAGTCAATAGAGTGTATATGGCTTTAATTTTGGATACCTTCACATATTCCGGTTGCGGAATTGACTTTGAAGCCGGGAGTACACCGCTTAGAGACATGGTCCTGACAGAAAAAGTTGCCGTGGGTGTTGATGCAGTGTTGAGATAGAGGCTGGCAGTCGTCCAATTTCTCTTTACATTCATCAATGTCTGGCGAAAAAGCAAATGGTTGTGAAAATAGATGTAACTCTTATGGGGTCGTTATTCCAAAGCTTTGAAGTTTTGAGACCCATCTAAGCTATGTAATAATAAAGCTGAAAATATGGTTTCTCTTTTTGCACGCTTCTTTATCTGATAGCCTGATTGTTTAAGATGAAGGCTTTTTGAGGATGGGTTAAAATAGCAGAGGCCGCTATATGGTGTTACACAGAGAGTAATAACCAAAAGAACCGATAGTGATAGATAAGACCACTTCATCAAATAAGGATCATGGTGCTGTTTACAGATGGAATTGAACTTTAGTGTAAACTGTCTCTATTATGGGCTATTCATAAGTTAATAGTTGTGGACAAAAGAAGGAGACGAAAGCTAGAATAGACCGGTAGCAGAAAAACGTCGATTTTCATAATGAAAATATCCTGGGGCTTAAACAGCTTATAGCACAAACAATTACGTATCCTATGTGCCCTTTGAGCCCTGAGGTATCGTATATATGTATCATTTGAAAACGTTGACGTAATTAACACTATACATCGCTCAAATAAATACTTTGTTTTTCTTATAACACTCACCCAAACACTCATCATTAGGTCCAGCCCTGAATCCAGGAGGACAGATATCGTTCCTCGGTCCTGTGGTAGAACTGGCGGTTGATTCAGTAACAGCTCCAGGGACATTCTCCGTGAACGGTTTACCAAGCTTACCACCACATTTGTATGCGCCGATGGTATTCACACAAAGATACTTTGGACAAGGGGGCCTAGGGAGTTGGCATTCGTTGATGTCTGAAAAAAGTGACATAAGTTTAGAGTAGGTGAAAATAATTTCACATTAAAAAAAATCACTCGTAAGTGTTTAATTGTTAATTATATCAAACACTGATGAGAGCACACCAATCGGATCATCATCATCAACATTTCAAACACAATGTAAAAGCTGTAATTGAATAATTGAATTGAATTGAATTGAAGTAACACTTCATAATTATAAACGTGAAAGGGAGTTTGTTTGATTGTTAGCGTACACGCCTAAATCACTATAACATTTTTAAAGATTCTTTCTCGAATGGAAAGTTAGATTATCAGCTAGTAACATAGGCTACTTTTTACCGCGATAGCCGGTATATGCGCCAGTGGAGCCGCGAGCAAAAGCTAGTTTAAAATATATATATATATTTCAGTACCCAAACACGTTACATTTTGAACAGGTCTATCTTTACCAAATTATTATTGAAGTATAGATTGACTTACCATCACACACTTGGTTAATAACGTTTCTCTTGAAGCCAGGAGGGCAAGTGAGTCCTACCTCCCTTTTCCTGATTGGTACACATTTGAACGCGCCTACTACATTATGACAGACTGTGTTCTCTGCGGTACACAAATCCTCTGTCAGTTCAAAGCACTCATTTATATCTGCAATAAATATAAGCAATGATTGGAATGACTATTTTCTGTGGCCTAAGGTACTTTTAACACACGCAAAAGTAAAATGATGCAAATTCAAAAAGAGATTGTAGTACAAGAAAGAGAGTATGAGTCAATAACTCATTTTTATTCAATATTGCATTCGGATCTTATTTGATAATTCCATTAAAATATGATGTATATATTAAATCAAAATGGTATATTCTGGTAAGACAATTTGAAATAAAGAGTTTGCTCATGATACCTTTGCAAGTTTTTTTGTCATCTTGAAGCCTGTACCCTGACTGACAAGAGCATCTGATCACACCATCTTTGTCATCACACAATTGTTGACACGAATCGGGTTTGCACTTCAACTTTTCTGTAGTGGTCGCAACCTGAGTGGAAGTCGATGTAGTCAACTGAGTTGTAGTCTCTGGTCTCCTCGTGGTTGTAGTCCTTCGTCTCTTCTTCCTTCTGGTGCTGGTCTCTGGCTTCTTCGTAGTTGTTAACTCTGGTTTTTTAGTGGTGGTTGTTTCTTCTAATTTTGTTGCCGCTTCCTGAAGAAAATGGTTATTTTATTCTAACTGACAGGTTTAGTGTTTTGTCTATTTCTGTTCGTGTAGATGTAAATTAAATAGAACAGAAATAATGAGGAGCGGCGTGTTTTAGGTAACTATTCGGAAGAGTTTTATAAAATATGAAACATCTGCAAATAGTAAACTAATTGGCTATCAAAGAAATAGCTGGCGCTGCCCTGATTAACACTACAGATATCTATCAGAGGTCCATCTAATAGATAAATCCTATGTGGTTAATTCAATTCTGACTGGTTATTACGTATCCTTTGACGTGGTAAATTATATCCAGGTTTCATTTTAAAGTATCGAAAGACCTGGAATCGAAATTTCAAAGTTATTATTGGTAATGCATGTAAACCTGATTAATTTAAATGAAATGAAAACAATAGATTTACTTTCTTTACACATAAGCTGTAAAGGTTACACACATAACTATATTCTGAATAAAGGATCAAATTAAGTTTTAAGATATTTACTTTGTTGAAATATCATGAAGATTATAAAAACCGTTTACCATACAACACTGATGAAAAGCGTTGTTCCTGAGAGCGGTGTGAGAAGAATCATTAACACCTGATGGTGATCCACACGCTTCACTTCCGCTAGATTCACCTGTCCATTTTCCGATTGAACATTCCTCGCAACAGAGCTGTGAAACCACATATTTTTAACTAGCACATTGTAATAAACAAAAATATTTACTTGTCTATCGTCTTTTTCATGCATAACTTGTTCAAGTCTTATACTATTTATTTAGGTTTATTTACCTAATTGTACTCACTAACGTTCTGATTATTATTTTATTTAATCCATCACTCCTATCCTTCTTTCCAAATCCATACTCTACCTTTTTCTAATGTTTCACTCATATTTTCTCATTATACCTTTTATTTTTATATCTAAATACTCTGAACTGATATTTAATTAAGAATTAAATTGCAGAACTCGGGACAATGATAAACGTCCATAAAATAATAATTGAAAGATATTATTCAAGGCAGAACTGTCTTCAAGACGAATAATGAAATTCACCAATCATGTCGAGTCGAAAAGATTACATTTTTGAAATAAAACTACCTACCACTATTTCATGTGTAGGTTTTAGAAGAATATTTAATGCGATAATAAAAAGGATTCTCTCAACGGCTTGTTGTAGACACCCAGGACAAAGGCCAACCAAAGGATCCTATTATAACTTGCCATAATATTAGTAGTATGGTAATTACTATCATACGTGTTGCAGAATCCGGATCAATTCGGTGACGGATTTAACTGTGCGGTGTCACCACCATATTAGTTTGATACTCACCTTTTCCATATCGGAGTTTAATATTCTGCAACCTTTTGTGGAATACGATTTGACCCCTGCTGAACAACTCTCCTTTAGTCTGAAATAATGAGCGTCACAATTATTTTTTTGTATTATTTAGTTGTTACCTCTGATAGTTTGTTTACCAACGGTAGGCTAAGTTATCAACTAACCTTTACCCACAGCTTCAGTTGGGTTGAAAATAAAAATGACCTGACAAATCTCACACACGGCCATCTGATCCCAAACTAGGCAGAGCCTGTACTGTGGTAATCAGACTGCTGATAAACATACTTATATATTTCTAGATACGTAAATATTTTAGATAAATTACCCAGATACAGAACAAATAATAGTGCTCGTCACAGAATGATTTGTTCTGGGTAGGAATCGAACCTGTCTGAGTCAGGGTCACTAACCACTAGACCGACAAGCCCGTTTATGTAAATATTGTCAATATAATTCAGGATCATTGTTTTTTTCTGTTTGAATTGGTACCCTATGTTCTTTTATAGACCCTTGAGAACGTATATGTAAAGTAGTTAAGGAGTAAAAGCCTTAAAAAACATTAACTGTTTCGTTGCCTTTCACTGAATGAGTGAGGACTTGGAGGGGGAGACTCAAAGGGCATTGACTTATTTGTGACTCGATTTGCAGGTGTCCATGGCGGCAGTAGATACTTAATATCAGGTGGCCCATCTGCTCGTTTGTGATCTCACTTCAGCCTATTGCCGTCCCAGCCGTCCACTGCTGAACGAAGGCCTACCCCAAAGGGCGCCAGCCATACCGGTCTTGGGCAGTCCGCATCCATCCGCTGCCAGCCATTTTCCTCAAGTCGTCGGTCAATCGTGGCGCAGGGTACCCTACACTACGTTTTCCCAATCGCGGTCTCCACTCTAACACAGTTCGGCTCCAGCGACCGACCAGCGACAGCTCGTTTGTAGCCACAACTTGAAAACCTTTCGTCCTGCTTAACCTTTACGCTTTACGCCCTTACAAGTTGGACAAATATGAGTCTTGAAAGAGAAAGTATTCTTTTTTTATAGTATTTGATAAACTGACTTCGCTATATAACTTCATTTTATCAGTCACGCCTTAGGGCGTAGGCAGCACGTCTGCCTTCTTCAACCATCGACAGCTACTGGACTTGAGAATTGCAAATAGAAAACTCTACATACCAAAAAGGCCAAACAATCGTACAACAGTACCAATGGTGTTTAGCAATTCTTTCGTTGCTTTTACCGAGTGAGTAAGGTCACCAGAGCCATATCCTCTCCCCCCCCCCCCTCTTCTCGATTCTGGAGGGGGGAAGGTAGGTATCCATAAGTCGCGGTAGTCACTTATCATCATGTGACCTGTTTGCTCGTTTACCCCTATGTCAAAAAAAAGAACTTACTGGAACTGTTGTTCGCAGCAGGTCTTGATAGCAGCAACGCATGTCTCCTTATCTTCTGGTTCTATATCGTCTGGTGGTGGTTCACTAGCGCATTGTGTTACCGATGAAGATCTTGGATAAAAGACTTCTGCAGCAAGCATACAGCATGTCTCTGAAACTTCCTGTTCATGTGATGTGTCAGCTGTAACATACAAATAAATCTTAGTACAAAATCTGTACAATACGTGATGGTCGCAAAAGCTTTTATTATCATCTATGGCAATCGTATAAAGGGTCAATGCCTTCAAAAATCTTCATAACTAATTTAAAAGTTAAATCAAGTTTTTTACTATTATTTGGTACATCATTTAGGTACGTTGGAATCTTTGCAATTACGCGGTTGATTAAAAAAACATACACTTTTTTAAGTATTCTCGTGGACTATGTCTAGACAACTTTAGCATGTCTTCATATACAACCAGTATTTTAGTTTATTTTTATTTGCATTTGTTTTGTTAAGCAGTTTTTTACGAGCTTAAATATTTTTATTGGGTTTAAGTGTCTTGTGCTGCCTCAACGATTTTTTTGTCTTATTAGTTCACTGCTCTGACTTATAACTTCCAAAAACCTCTACATTTTTGTCCGATCCGTGCTGGCAGGCTGGCACAAAGGGAACATGGGGGTTCACACACAGGAGGGGGTCATCTACCCGCCGTAGATGGCCCCAGGTACGTCGGTGAACCAGGGATTTCCTTTCTAGGGTACACCTGGTTCCCCGGCTACTGGTACCCGAATCGGCGTGCGGTTTTTAGTCGGTTCTAGTCCGACATAGCCACCGGTGGGTGGTATCTGAGGGGATTACCGCACAGAACTAAAATGGGCACGTACTCCATAACACCCAAAACAAAACCTTTTTTTATTAAAAAAAATCTACTAGTGTATTTTTCCTGAAACAATGGTACAGTCGTTGTTTACATTTTGCTACCGTTCATTGACCATTACAAGATTTGTAATACTACATTTTGGTGGTATCCGAGGGGATTTGCGCGCAGAAAAAAATGTTTAAAATTGAATTCCAAACTAGAAATTATTCCTATGGATTGGTGGATTTTATAAACATTGAAACAAGGGACACATATTAACACATTATTAAGTGACACAATTGATTAGTTACAAGTAAAGCTAATATATTATGCGATTGATTATTCATTTATTCATTCATTCATATTGTAAATACTAATTTAAAATAGAGATGACCTGATTTTTAACACGCTTTTATTTTATATTTTGAACTGTCATTGTATAAGATTTCCAGACTACGGCAGGCCATTTTTAACTCTATAATTTATCAATGTAAAATTGTTACATTTATAAATTATAGAGTTATATATTTATTGTAGTGTGTTGTGTATGTAGTATATGTATGTATCTAAGAAAATATGGTAAAACTCTTGTTGACTCTTGGTGTGAATGTGTGTCTTAAAAATAACTGTTTTTATTTGCTTTTGAACTTACTTAAACGCTAATAATCACTCATTTCTATATCACCCCAGCAGATATTGTCTAACTCTGATGCATGAAGTCCACCATTGTACATTCGTACATAAAGTGTTATATGGGTTTTTTTGATTTTAAAAGCATTCATTTACCAGACAGTACGTACAAGTATCTCGACACAAGTTAGTATGTGGTAATTGATGAAAATTATTCAATTCAAGAGATCAGGAACAAATGCAGAGGCGTAAGAAAGATGTAATCGACAATGTGCAACAATCAAGTATCTTTATAATGCAACCGTTGCTTCTTGTTGGAGCAGATATACCTAGTGTTTTATGTTAATTGAAAACCGTAATACTTAATTTATTGAAGGATTGAAATTATTGTGATACTGATATACAAATTGTTTCACTCGATAGTTTTAATTGTAGTTTATACTATATACACACTAAATAATAGATCAGTATAAGAAAATGTTGACCCTACTTAATGTTATTAAATAACTAGATCACTATTACTTCAAGGTTACCCGTGTAGTGACGGATTAAGAATACGGAATGTCACTACCCCAATTCATCCCGTGGGCGCAAAACAACGCAGGACACCAGCACTGCAAAAAGAAGGAAAACTTGATACAATCCCTATACCAACCCGTCTGGCCAGCGTGGTATAGTAGGCCAAACCCTTCTTTCTAAGGAGAGGCCTATGTCCAGCAGTGGACTATTAAAGGCTGTTGATGTGACTTTAAGGTACTAATGACTGAAATGTTTTCAATTTAGTTATGAGAAGACATGTCGCTAACTACGTAAACGAGACTTAGCGCCGCCCTTATTTTTGGACCAGTGTAAAGCGGAATTGGCTTGCAGTACCTATTATTTATAACTACAGTAATATTGTGATCTATATTTGGTTAATGTGAAAGTGAGTTTGTTTTGTTTATTTGTTACGCTTTCACGCCTGAATCGCCTGAAATCAATTTTGAAAATTATTTCACCAATGGAAAGCTTCATTATTAGCGAGTAACATAGGTTACTTTTTACCGCGATAAATACACGTGGGCAGAGTTTTAACCAAAAGCTATTTATATAGTAATTAAACAAACATTAGTACGCAATTTTCGAAACTCAACATTCATTTTTAATATTGACCTACAGTTGTAGGTCCAGCTGAAGTCACGGTCCTAGATGAGTCTTTAACCACAGAATAGACATGCAAAACATAGCTGATGCAGTCTCGTTTCCTCATCCGAGTTTTACTGTATCCCTTACTCTTGTTCCTCGCCTATTTATCAGGCTTATTGGTGTAGTGGTTTCTCTTCTTTCTTTGTCCCTCCTGACGATTATTATATTAATAGGAGAGATGGAGTCAACCTGGCCCTCGACCTTAAAAGAAATTAGTTCAAAGCTCATCACAAAACTATACTTCCTTATAAGTGGTTTTCAGTTTGAGAATTCAGTCAAACAATGCAATTGGGGCTACCTTCAATTATATGATATTTTTAAAAGACAACTCTGTTTGGAAAGCTGTTACTATGCAAATACCTATAAACCTAGATAATAAACTGAATATACAATGAGCAACAATGTTTAACACTATGAATAATTAATTTTAGTCAGTAAAAATGTAGTTTTGCAAAGATATAAAAACAGTTAGCACCTATTAACTTTTATCAATTGTTTGTTACGCTTTTACGCCTAAAACACTAAACCGATTTTAAAAATTCTTTCACCATTGGAAAGTTGCATTATCAGCGGGCTACTCTTTACCGAGATAACCGACATGCACGCGGGCGGAGCCGCGAGCAAAAGCTAGTAAAACATATATCGACACATGACTTTTTATGTTATAATGTGTTTAGAAATTAAAATATTCGAACATATCCCTACGCCTGTATCTCCGTAGAGGTAGGCAGAGGCTTAATAAATGCCGTGCGGCGGGTAATAAGCCCGCTAATCGCCAGAAGTGGCAGGGAGGCTGACAATCTACCCGCAATTCTCATCAAACATTCTAGCCTAGCTAATCGATTCAGGCTACCTCCGACGTCATTTGTGCGACTACGTCGTCGCCAATGGGGGAGGTTGTAGATCACCAGGGACTTCCTTTCTAGGGTATACCTGGTTCCCCGGCTATTAGTACCCGGCGACGGCGTGCGGTTTTAGTCGGTTCGAGTCCGACATGCCACCGACAGGTGGTAAAAAAAAGGGGGAGGTTGTAGAGACGGTCCAGTAATGGACCAAGTCTCCAACCTCCTTGTCCAGACGAACCTGAACCACTCACCCAGGACGGATGCTAGGGGCGAGGCCGTAGAGGAGTGGGCGGCCTAGGTGGGTCTCTGTCTTCTAAACAGAGGCTCCACCTACACGTGTGTGCGGGGGGTCGATAGTGGACCTTTCGTTCGCTACCCCTACCCTTGCCGCACGAGTAAGGAACTGGCGTGTCCTGGAAGAGGTTGAGACGCTCTCGGATCACTTGTATATCCGATTTGAGCTCTCCCGGACCCAGGACCCCAGTAGGGGTCACGTGGCGCGGCGTTCTCCACGTTTTCCGCGGTGCGAAACTAAACAAAGACCTACTAAAGGAGGCAGCCATTATTCACTCTTGGCTATCTCCGCAGGCTCTGACTGAGGAGGTTGACATGGGGGCTGGTCGCTTTCGTGATGCGATTACTCATATCTGCGATGCGGCCATGGCCCGCATCCGTGGTCGTCGGCCTCCATGGAAGGAGGTCTACTGGTGGTTCCAGGAGTTGGCGGACCTCCGCGCAGCCTGTACTCGTGCGCGGAAGTCCTACACCCGCAGTCGGCGGCGGGACCGGCTTCATGAGAAGCATCGAGAGAAGAAGTGAAAAGAAAGGAGATGCTGGAGGGTCTCGATTATGACCCCTGGGGTCGCCCTTATCGTGCGCTTACAGAAACTCTCTTGCCCAGCTTCCTGCAGGAAGTGGTGGAGGGCCTATTCCCGCATCGGGCGGAACACACAACCCCGTCGATGGCCTCCTTGGCCGTCGACAACGGGGAGAACGAGGATGATATTCCGCCCATCCGGGATTCGGAGATAGAGATTCGGGGCGGCTGTTCTAAGGATTCGTTCCAAGAACACCGCCCCCGGGCCGGACGGGATACCTGCCGGTTTGCTGGCCCGGGCTCATTCATTGTGCTCATTCAATTATAGGCAATCACAACTAACACAAGTAAAAATTTTACCATACTAAAATAAAATAAATATGAAGGCATTATAATAGAAAAATATTAAAGAAAATTAAAACAATTAGGTAAAAAAAAACTATTTAAAAAATAGATCAAGAGCCATATACGAGTATCACAGAACCATAGGTGTTGGCTTGGCTTTTGGTTTGTTTCAAGTTTTCCTTCTCTTAGCAGTGCTATTGTCCTGCGTAATTTGCTTCCTTAGTCGGCTCTTACTGCACCCGCGGAATGAATGACACTCCGTATTCTTAATCCGTCACCATTCCAGTAAACAGAAGTCTTAAGAAAAAAAAAAGTACATATGTACGTATTTCTGGTACATATACCTACAGGTGTTTTGCGGTCAGGATGTGAGCTGACAGCTGATGGGTGATGTTAGTGTAATAATGTATTGAAAGATAAAAACAAAAAATTGTAGTAGGTAAATTTTAATGACTAACGTGACTAAGAGGGATTAGTCACATTGGGCAATCGAATAATTATGACAACACATGTTAAA